TGCCAAAGATTGGCTTATTAGTGAGGTGGATTTCTTTTAAAGGACAGTGGAGTGCCCCCTCATTTTCCTTTATTACCTTTGCAGAGGAGGTTATGTTTTCAGTGATGTTTGCTTGTTTGTTTGTTTGTCTGTCAGCAGAATTATGTAAAAACTGCGTGCAGCAAGGGCCAAAGAAGGACTCTCGAAAGAACAGGAAATTATAGTAGGAGACCACAAGTAATGGTTCTTTACAATCTGAACTTAATAAAGTGGCTTTTGCTTTGAATAATCCTCAACCAGGTGTGCTTGGTTTAGGCAGGGTTTTAAACATGCACCTCACCTCACACTAAGTTTCAATGTGAGGTGAATCAGCCAAGAGTCCAAGAGTTTTCCACATTTGGTCAGATTATTGTGTAATTTCAGTTGAGTAAAATGTCAAAAAGATCAAATTAAAAAACAAAGATTTGGGTTTTTTTTTTTGTTTTCATTTTAAAAGAGAATTTAATGATTGATGACCACAAACTACCAAAAAAACAGACATTTTATGTAAACTAACATTAAACATGTCCAAAGTGTTTGTGTTTGAAAGCATACTCACTTAAATTATATTGAGAAAGTTTTCCTGTTTTGTTTTTGTGAAAGTATCCTTGAGCAAGACACCAAACCCCCTCGTCTGTTCCAGAGACACCGCTGCGCTCTGACATATCTGGTCAGTTTTTAAATGCATACATGTGTGTTTGTTGGAAGGGAATATGAAAGTAAAAAGTACTTCTTTATTTAAACAATATAATCAAAAGGGAAAAAAAGAACTATTAAATAATGTTTTCAGTTTCAGTCCTTTGATTAAGTGAGAAGTTTCTGAACTCTTTCCCTCAAGTACTTTAGACCTCATTTGCACTTCATGTGTTGGAGTTAGTGCAGAACTGTGACCGCTTACTGACACAAGCAGCTGTCTCTAAAAGTTAACATGTTCTATCGTCCCAACTAAGAAGATGAACAATGAGTGAATCATCTCATTGGCTTTCAAGCTCTGTGCAGTCTTCTCTCCATATGTCAGCGTGTATCATCTTTGCTCTTTGCAGGCAGAAAGAAATGCAGCTGGCGTCCCACTAGACGTTTTTACTGTATCTTTTCATTTGTGGCCATTTGGCATTTGAAAATCTATTCACACTCCTTAGTACTTTTTTTTTATATTTTATCTCTCCGTTTCCTCTTTGCTTGACCCCAGAGAGCAAATCGCTCTCTTCTTAGTGTAGTGGCGAGACAGCAAATACAGACCTGGATTGCTGTCTGCTCCAGAATGTCACATTAGAGTGAGACACAGACTGAGCTGAGACAGCCTCTCTGGAATCAACTGGCCTGTGTTCAACACAGCTGGAAACTGCAACGAACAGGAAGTCAGAAAATAAAGAGTTTGGGTCCAGTTGCAAAGTCACATAAGGCATTTTTAAGTATCAAAACCTTTCACATGTAGTAAACAGCATTTCTCAGTTGGCTGTGTTGTTAGCATTGAGTATATACAATGCACAGAGCTTCCGGATCTGAAAAGTGAAGCCAACGCGGATGTGACTTAAAATCTGCATTGTCAGTAGAGGCCAGCAGGGGGAGCTCCATTGGCTACAATTTAAAACAATACCATGCACTCTTATAGAGAAATGACCCAACTTTTCACTTTACTTATTAGCCCAGTAAATAGTTTCCTAATGCGTTTTTTGTCTCGATCACTAGTTTCAAGTCTTCTTCCAGGCTAGCCGTCATTGTTTCCTGCTTCAGATGAGTCGAAACTGCGCAGCCAATGAGACACACATATAGGATTCTGGAATAAACAAACATGATAAAATAACATCTTAATTAATAAGGAAGATGGGCTACAGGGCACATGGATGAACAGTAAGGGAGTCTACATTTTAAGGTTCAAGGTAACTTATACGCATTGTACAATACAAACTGAGATTAAAATAATAATATATAAAAATAGATTAAAATATAACAATTTGTACAGTTATAAATATATACACACACGTATACACCCAAGAAATAGTATTCTTTGAATTTGCATCTGGGGGAATGTAAACAGCAGCAACAAGATGATAATATGGTTTCATCTTCACATCAAAACTTTGGCATTTGAGAAACAGTGTCCATCAGCTTTGACTCTGTTTGAGCACCAAGTATCATTTACCGTTACTTATATTATTTGGATCATTTTAATTGCCACCAATAACAATAAATATGATAAGAACTGAGTGAGGCTTAACTGCATCATAAACAAAACGTAGCTGTTAGTTTATAAAGAACTTTGTATATTAATACTACGAATGCATAAAGATTAATAAGAGGTTAAAATATCTATTTTGCATATACATAAGTGGATACATAAGGGATCATATACATAAGTCATTGTCAATACTATAACCAATAGCAACAGATGCTTGTAAGCTCATCAAACAAGTGACCCTGGTGACCGTCTGCTCCTTTTCCCATCTCTCATGTAGATCTTACTTCCCCTCTCAGCATGTACAGTACAGAACATCCTGGTATGTTGGCATTTATCAAGTCTGTGCTCTACAGCTGATGAATGATATCCTTTGGGAGGGAAAACACATTGCTCCTCATATCTTCAAAGCCCAAGCTATTGTTCATACCAGATCGTGCAGACGGACACTGCGTTGTCCAGAATGTCAGCATTTGACAGGAGTGTTCGCCACTGAAAATCTAACCCACATTGCATTCTTAATCATAATTTTTATTCCTGCTTTGAACTATTGATTTGTGGTCTTTTTTCCGCAGTATTGAGCCAGTATGCCTGACTATAACTTAGATTATGTAACATGCGTGACACACCTGAATTATGTTCCCAGAATTCCTAAAAAGTTTTGAATGAGACTTTAATATACTAAACAAAAAAACAAATAAACAAAAGTATCATTAAAGAAGATGCAGCCCACGTTTTCAACATTGCTTCTCAAGCATGACCTATGTCTTTGGGATTATTAAAGGTCAAATTTTAAAACATATGCTTGTGAATTACTTGAAAACCTATTTATCACAGGATTACATAAGGCCGTTGCAAATAAATCTAACATCAAACCAACGAAAACTGTGTTTCTTAGAAGTGGGATGTTGAGGAAAGCGAAATACCTCACTTTTGATGGCCCAGCATGACCTCATGCTATATGTCTACAGTGAATCAGCACGCAACAAGGTCTGACTTCTGACCCTGAAGGTCGCCCAAAACCTTCAGTGCTCATAGGCTTTAGCTTTCTTCAGCCTCAATGAACAGAGGTTGAAGGTTGCACAGATGGAATGTGGCAGATTACAGATGTTTGATGTACAAATTCCATTAATGTTATCACCTTTTAAGAAAATCTGAGATTTTCTCCACTGCATGGTTTACATGGAGGAGTGTAATGCCAAGGCGATTACACAGTCTGATGGTTTTGGATGGCAGTTGATGAAGAGAGCTGTGGTTGCTAATGGAGCTGCTCTCTGACCCTCTTAAGTTTTAAGTAGCTATTTTAGCCGCTCTGGGGCCGGACCCAGACAGCTTGACTATTGTTGATTAAGGTCATCGAGCAGGAGGTCATGGTGAAAGAAGACTCCTGGAAGAGCTAGTTAAATGAGCTGTCAAACTGTTTGTTTTGTGGGAGAGTCTCAAACATTTATTTTTTTATTTTTGCTCTAAAAACACTATACAACACATGCTTATCTAAGTATGTATGTTGTCTTTGGCCTCCACGCATTTCTGTGTGTCTAAGGAGAAAGTCTGCAACAATTAATCATCAAAAGAAGTTTGAATCCACCCATTGAATATCTGAGTCATCCTCAGACCTCAGCTATTGTGACTCCCTTTCCCAGCACAGGCATCTGCTTGCTGGTAAACGATGATCTCTCCTGCATAAAACAGCTTTAGTACATGGGAAAAAATGTTGGACTATTGTTGTACTAAATGTGTTTTTTATCACTGCTTGGCAAATTGTTGTTTTCCAAGATGCCTGCTGTTAGTATATTTAAAAAAGATATTCTTTTCTTTACAACCACCTAAAAATCTATGAAATCACCATAAATGACACTGATGCTCCACCGCCGATCTGGACGTTCACCCAAACATTCCTGTTTAGTTTGCAATTTATTGGTTTGTTTTCACTTAGTTTTCATCATGTAGAGTGTAGCACTTTAAGACTTTAAGTGGGATTAAGGGTAGTACAAATAACTTTGGCTTGAAGTAGTATGAAATAGATTTTAAATGGTTGTTACTTGCCCTAGTCTTATGCATCACGTATGCTTGAAAGTTAAAATACAGCTGTTTGTGAACAACTGTCTTGAATTAAGATTGTTCCATATTATCATATACTCTACTCTGAGCAGCTGCAGATATGAATATGTAGCACAAGCCTCATTCTGACCCCCAAGTGTAGGTTACCTGTTGCTATTACTTCTGATTGGCTGTGAGAGTGTTGAGGTAATGCTCTCTCCCCCTCATCTGCTCTCCCGGCTGATAGAGACAGATGAGATAATCATCTTTTGCTAATATAGTGAAAAGGCGATTGTGTACATGTCCTTTTATGTGTGCCGCGTCCACATGTTGGTTAGAGTGCGGGGTGTCTGTTTGCACACGTGTGTGTTTAAATGGTTGTGCAGCTTGTGGGTTGGTGTTAGTTTATTGATGTGTGGGTGCCTTATTAATCTGTAAACAATTGACTCACCATGACCAGTACTGGCGGGAACCTCAAGCCCCTCTTCTCATTAAACAAAGTTATATAACAAAGTTCAGGCAAGGTGGCTTAATGTTTTTTGTGATAAATGGCAGGTATGGAAAACCAAGAATTTCTTTGAGAAACACTGTATGGATCTTGACCTTGGTGATGCTAGTCTTCTTTAAGGGAGCAGGTGTGCTCTTGTGTAACTTGGTCCTCTAAAATAGAGAGTCGTAAACAGGAGAGTGATGTGTGACACACTCCCTGGGAAATATCATCCGCAAGCTGAACGTGATGTCATCTTTTTTCTCTTGTCTCTCCTAGCTGCTGACTGGGACCCTGGATGGGAAGCTGAGACTGTTTCAGTCCAGCAGTGGGGCCTGTCTGTCTCATGACACCAGTGCTGCTGTGCATAGCATCCCCAACATGACTGCATAATTACAGCAGGCTGCTGCGAAGACCATGTAGGTTTCATTAAAACATTTCCAACCCCCTGGCTAGGATTTTACTGGGAAAGAAGAACGAAAGGGTTTGTTTTTGGTTATTGGTTAAATGAAGATAGATACAAGTTTAAAGAGGTTTTGTTTTTCTTGTTATATGTGACTTTTGTGTTCTTTTCAAATTGTCAAAAGGACCCACCCATTTAAACATCTTTGTTAAACTTCCAGAATGTAGAGACTGCTTTTCTTTTGACTGAGATTCAAAGTGGTTTGATTCAATCAGTGGTTTGATTAAATATGTTTTCATTTAACCACATTACTGTGATGCAATATTTACTCAATTATATGTAATTACAGCTAAATTTGCCAACAACAATTTTATCAGCAGTTATTCCCATACGTTCGTCTACATTCTCGATGGTCAAGCATAAGATTTAGTTTGTTCAGTATGTGGAACAGATGTACTTCTGTATCACTGGCTGTGGCCACTACTTAACAGATCAGCACACAGAGCTATGACATCAACTGGGTGCAACCTCTTTGGCTGCCAGACACACAGATGCTACTACTGTTCACACTGACAAACCCATCGCATTGTTTGAGCTGTACATTTACTCTTCTCTACCTCAGTCACAGCAAAATGTCAGCTACACTCAACTGTAATGGAGCAGAATAAAAATATGGGACTCTCATGTTTGTCAAGTATGAATAAATTGTTACATCTTCATCACAGTATTTCTCTGTTTTCTACACAACATGTATTTATGTATGTGTTACTGTATATCTGTTTTTACTAGAAGTATATAAGGTGTACCTCAAGGTTCGATTTAAGGACCACTTCTGTTTTCTTTTTTTATTTATGATTTCTTGATTTTTGGTGATTGTTATTAGTTACATATATACTGTAATATATACATTGAAACTAATATATATATGCATCAAAGTCCTATTTAGCACTATTACCACATTATATATTTGCCACAGTAACGTGGCCCCAAGTATCCCATACTATATACTATTATATGTACATAAAAACCTCATTCATCACATATTAAAGAGACTTTTCAAACCAACTTCAACATTTTACAAAGTTGACTGTCAGCTAACAAACTCAATAAAACAAAGTCTTACACAATAGTCTTTGGTATGAGAGAGAACCTTAAATCCAAATCCAACTCTCTGGTTTTAGTTTGTAATGATGGTGCATCTCTCCAGAAAGTTGATCTAATGAAATGTCTGGGTTTATGGATTTAATCTGGACTTACTTTTAAACCACACCACATTTTATAAAAAGTGCTCATTTTGATACTGGTGTTCTTTATCTTTCCAGAAATTGTTTTGAATTTAACTTAGAAAAAACTTAAGGGCTCCTTTTACCTCTACATATTTACTTATTTCGTTTGGCTTTTATTATTATTATTATTATTATTTCATCATTGAAAACAAATTACACATGTTGATCATTTTTCAAGTCTCTTTTGTCATTGCTATTTTTATTGAGTTGAGTTTTTTTTTCTTTCACATCATTAAATTCACTTCAATTTTACTTGTTTTGTTTAGGATCACGAACACAATCAAAAGGTTTATGCACAATACCAAACTAACAACAAGAGACTACATCATGTACGACATTTCAGTGGCAACCATTTTATTTTCTTTGACTCTGGGAGATCAGGCCACAATTTTCACTTTTTCTTGCCCAGAAAAAAACTTTATTTCCTACTGTGGTGCCATTATCACCGCCGACATCTTATAACCCACAGCTGTCTTAAGAGAGGCTAAAGGAAAACTCTACCTATCCGTAATGGAATGAAAACCTCAAGCGTCACTCATCCTTCGTCCATTAGGAAAAGACATTGTATTTGACGCATTATCTGACGCTGACGCTGATGATAGAATGATAAATCCACTGATAGGCTGCCTTGTCTTAACTCCCTTAGATGGAGGTACATTTTCAGAAGACTGCTCGTCCCTGCCTTGTCCCCTGTCCAGTATTCTGTGTTTGATTTACTCCGTCTTATTGGACTGTGTTCTTTAATTGATACCGAGGCAGACTGCCTGTGAAGATTGTTCTCCGTGCACCACCAACCTCAGCTGGGTCAGATGAAATATAGCTTTGAAGTTGCACAATATCAGCTGCCAGGTTTCCTATCACAAAAACTGATGTTATATATTAAAGAAAGCGGAGCTGAGGCGGCATAGGATTTATGGGGTGGTACCTATTCTTTTGTCATACACGACATTATGTCTGTATGTATGTGTGTGTACATGTTTTTTATGCCACAAAGATAGGTATGTACTGGCAAGGTTGAGTCTGCGCTGTCACGGTGAGCTTTAGTGTTCCTCCAAGCAGCAGAGACTTTCTACTGGAACAAAACATAATAAATTGTCTATGGAGTAAATTTATGTAGCCATGTTCTTTCTCCATTTTAATGTGCTGGAATGTGTGTGAGTCTGTGTCTGTGTGTGTGAGTGAGTGAAGGATTCAGTGTCTTCTCTTGAATGAATTAACCTGCTATTTTAAAATATCCTGAGCACACGTTCACAAACCAAAGTGATATATTGGTGTACACGCACATTCCTTGTCTGTGTGAGGTTGTTCTGGGCGCACTCCCTGCATTGATCTCACCAGTAAAGAATCATGTGTTTATACTTGCAAATAAAAGGATTTCAAGGATAGCCACACCCGTACATCATAACGCAATCTGGCCCAGAATTTGATCTCATACAACACTTTGTCATTTAATTTCACAAAGAGAAGAACTTAGTCTGCATCCAAGTTTGCAGTGAACTAGGATACCGGATATATGACAGAACTGAATAGGGCAGAGTGTCACATTTGGGGAAGATACAGTGCAGAACTCAAATCTAGATGTTCATTTTCCATCTGAGCATCATCTACAACTCAAACAATCTGTGCATGCCTGCGACATTGCCTGTAAAGTGTTTTGGGCGTCCACTGCCTCTCTGACCTGTGGCCTGAGCTCCGAATGCCGGCCTTCACTCTCCTTCATGACTACTTTATATAAAGAAAACCAAGATATACATCATGTGGCACAAGCAGTTTTATGATTCCCTGAAGGATCTCTGCTCTTTTGTTTTCATGAACTCAGAGCAGCCCAAGTAAAGGGAGGGAAATATTTGTGCACATGTCAAAAACTGCTGTCATGTAGCTGTGACTCATGCAAGTCTTATGTAAAGCTTTTCTAAATATCCTGTAATTTTCTATAAATTATTTAGAAGAAGTAGCCAGGCTAATGGATATTAAAGTGATAATCTTTGACATGAGTCATGTTTGTTTTACTAGGGTTATTGATGACTGGTGGCTGAACATAACAGTTATTCAGCTTATTGGCGAGCTACTTGATGAGAGCTTTCAAAGGCTGCCTTAAACACCTGGTGTAAACTAATGACAGGATCAGACTACACAATATCAGTATGATAATGGCCTGTCATGAAGGATGTGAAGCGTCAAGAACAAAAAAGGGCAATGGGTGTGACAATTGCTTATTTTATCCCATGTATTGTGTTATATTGGAAGTCAACAGAGGCAGCATAAAGACCCCTTACAATGTCCCAACAGTCCCAAATACTAGCATGGGACAGTTTTTTTGCCTTCTCTCGCCAACTTTGACAACTTTGACTCATTGCATGAGGCTGATCCACAGGAGCACAGGGCACTAATGCACACACAACTGTAAACACGGTGAAGCAAAAAAGGTGTAATGTTGTATGTGCTGTCAAGCTGAACAGTAAAGTTACACCATGGTGCCTCCTTTCTCATTACCTATGTGCACCACATGAGTTGTGAAAGAGGGCAAGACCGGTCAGGGTCCTTGTGTGGTCTGCCATGTCACTCAGCCAACTCATGGCAACAATTTATGACGCTTTAATTAACTAATTCGACATGACATGATTATCTTGAAAGGCAAAAAAAAATATGTGGTAGATCACCTGCATACATTTTATGCCTGGGTGGATCGTAACAGAAATGTAGCAACATTTACTCAAGCACTATACTGTATTTGTTGGTACGCATTTGAGTATTACAATTTTCTGCTACTTGCTTAACATTTTTAGAGGGTAAAAAATTCAGTCAGTCTTTACCAAATTCAATATTGAAATGCTGTTAAGTTAATGCATCAATTATGAAAACATATATAATCTCTATTCAGCATTTATGAGTATGTTTACTTTTGATACTTAAAAGTGTATTTTGCTGATAAAAGACCAAATACTTTCACTTAAGTACAATTTTGTAGCTCCAATGGCAGCACAAGTAGTGTGCTTGGAAACCAATAATTGGCAGTTAGCATGAGCAGCAATAGCCACAAAAGCTAAAAAAGAAAACAGTGCCACCTGCAGAAAGTCAAACCTCATCAGCATTCAGTCAAACTCCAAAGTAAAAAGCTGCATTATGCTGCCACTGTAGCACCAAAAAGAAATATTTGAAAAGAGCTGTGTAAAAACACCACAGCAGTGAGCCGTGCAGTCTTATCTCTGTACATTACTTTACAATCGAAACAGGGAAAGAAAAAAAAACACAGAATGTATAAAACACATCCTCCCTACATGTCTGCCAGGGAATCTTATCATACACATGTTCATGATTCACATACATTTGTTGGTGAATATGTTAACAAAAAGCTTTCATGTGTTAAAGAAATGGCACAAGTGTTAGCGGCCTGTGTTTCTCCTTATGTGGTCTACAAATTAGACAGTCATATTTTTGGCTTGAATGATACACCACATATCACAGTGTTCTGTAACTCGTAGAGTAACTCTTTCTGACTACAGTATATAAGGTAACTGTAAAGGATGAACATGGATTGTAAGCTATAGAGGGACTAGTGAATATTGGTGATGGTTGATCCAGATGGAGTCAGACAGGGAAATTAGTGTCTTTGTACTTGACTCTATCCCGAGATGTTCTGGGCTGCTGTGTGCAGACAACGACGGAAATACCGATTAGTAGCAGATGGTGTCATCCAGGGTACAAGGCATAAACATTCGAGTGCTTAACACTCAGATAAATCAACACAAGACCCTCATGGAGTTAGCAGGAAAAATGGGGAAAACAGGAGCACGTAACACGAGGTGCCAGATTTCTGAAAGAGACTGGGGTCACTTAGGAACCCTGTCGAGCTTATGAAATCCATTCAAATAGAAACTCTTTGAACAACAATCTTAAATAAAAAATAAAATAAATTGATAAGTTTGCTCCATAAATTCCTCTTTTAGTACCCTTTGCAAATACCAATTAAAGCCATGTGTGAGTCCAAACTGCACGATGAGACTTAAGGTTATTCTGAGTTTTCATTTGAGTCGAAGAACCAGGTTGCTGAGTGCACAGTCTTTATTCAATGTCTTCATAAGGCTAAGACGGTTCGTCAGCTCCATTAAGCCAAGGTGCAAGGGTGAGATGAGATGATAGTTTGGCATCTGAGTGTAAACCATCAAGTCTCTGCACATTTCTCAGGTTCATTAACTCACCCCATCAACCTAAACTCCAACCTCTCACTGACACAAAGATAGCATTTCAACAGCAAACTCTACCATTAGCAAATTCCTTTGTTTTTATGACAGAATTTATTTCCTCAAAGAGGCAATTTTATGTTTTCCTCTTTAATCATGTTTAACCAAGCTGGAGAATTAACAGCACATGTGGTTGAGCTCCACTTCACTGTATGGATGTGATTGGTACGCATGTCTCCGTGTATAGCTTGT